TTCTAGATACTTCATAATACCCTAATGACAACCTTCTCAGTATCAAGAACAAGCTGGGCATGTCTACACATTCATTAATGCGCTGTAGTTACTGGGCATGATGTTTAGTACTTGTATTACCAAATCCTAAATCAATGTGCAGTGACTGACATTACTGCGCAGTAGTGCCAGTGCATGCCTTTGAAGTAACACTAATGCACAGTAAACTAATAGAAGCAGTAAAGCACGAAGTTCCCAAAATACCTCAACATAACTCTTAATCAGAGCCCCACCTTTCATGAACATCTATGGAATGTTGCTAAAAACACAAAAGCATGAATTAACCTTGTGCATAAACTGGCCGGAACAACACAGGGAGTAAATGCAACCACACTTCGAATGGCCACTCTAGCACTTGTTTTCTCTGAAGCAGAATATTGTTCCCCAGTCTGGAACAAAAGCATGCACACAAAGATTGTTAATACACAGTTAAATGCAGCTATGTGTATTATATCAGGAACGCTAAAAAGTATGCCATTGCCATGGCTTCCAGTCCTAGTGAACATTGCTCCCCCACAGCTCTGCCACGATGCCGCATGCTTGAGAGAATACCATAACGCCATCAGTAACCCTAGCCTCCCAATCAACCAGGACATCACTACCCCACCACCAGATAGGCTCAAATTTAGAAAACCCTTCTGGAAATATGCCAAGAAGCTCTATGATGATAACAAGAGCACCGAAGAACAATGGAGGGAAGCCTGGGAAAATACCAACTTGCTGCAGAAATACATTGTCAGCAACCCTACAATTCCCCAGCCAGGATTTGACCTACCAAGAAAGATTTGGCCCTCCCTGAGTTGCATCCAGACACTTCACAGAAAATGGGGATACCTACTCCATGAATAAAGAATCAAAAAGAGTCCAAGTCGCAATTGTGGTGCGATTTTTCAAACTGTGCAACACATTGTGAACAACTGCCCAATTAGATCACTGAATGGCTATCTAAAAATCAATCCATGCACCTACCCCTGAAGCACCCAAACGGTTATCATAGATATTAATCTATGAATTTTGTAATCCTAAAGCATCATAGAAAAGAAGAGCACATATTAACGCAGCTTTTGCCATGACACGCTAATGCGCAGTAGAATTAGTCTACTGAGCATTTAGCATCTCGTGTAGACGCGCCTACCTTCTCCCATTATTCAGAGAACTGACTGATTCCATTCAGTTTCTTTTTCTCTAGTCTTATGCCCCTAACTTCTCTCTTCTTTCTGATCTCTGCTGAAAACATATTTCCTCTCCAAAGGGTGCAAAATGAACTGTGCTCAGAGTTGGATTAAGACAGAGACACTACAAGCATTTGTAGAAGCCTTAGCTATGGGACTCTCAGTTTTTATTTTATAAACATAGGTTTCTTGCCCTCTTAGTTGCAAAGCATCTTGAAAAAGTGACACATGTAAACAATGTAGTAATATCTGCCTGGGTCTGAAGAAGTTTCAAACAACAGCTCTAAATGCTGTGAACAGCCCAATTAATCTCATTGAAGTGTTCACCAATGTGGCCTCAGCCAATAAAGTATTCAGCAGTCTTTACTGTGGACTCAAGAAAGATGTGAACAAACTGAAGCATCCAGTGGAGAGCAACAAAAATTATTAAAGGTATGGAAAACATGATTTATGAGGAAAAGCTGAAAGAACTGGAATTATTTAGTCTGGAGCAGGAGGAAGGATTTGGTAACAGTCTTAAAATACCTGAAGGGTTTTTATACAGATGATGGAGATATATTATCTGTTGTCCTGTCTCCTGTGGCCACAAGAAGCAATGGTCTTAAATTGCAGCAAGGGAAATTTAGGTTGGTGTGGCAGGGCCACTTTAAGGTGCCGGCCACTTTAAGGGCAGAAAAACAGGTAGCAGCCAGGTGCCTGATTAGGGCAGCCATTTTGGTCCAGTGAGATAAGCTAGGCTACAGTTTGCTGCAGGAGGAAGGAGGTAACATCAGGCTGAAAGGCCGCTCTGGGAATATAAGGAGGTAAGGGCAGGGGCGGAGGTGACCCCTTGTCCTGGGTAAGATGTAAAACTGCACCCTGCCGGGGAAGGGTAGTCTGGTGGGGCTCCTAGTGGTATGGGAGCCCCCAGGAAATACCAGGCCAGTTACCTCCCTGGTGAAAGTTGGGTTGGGGCACCTTTATAACCCCAACCCCGCATCCCTGGTGGTATCCTAATGAGCAGGGGGAGCCCAGGCTCGTTAAGGAGCCCCAAGGCAGAGCTCAGGCTGGAGAAGGGGGCCGCACACAAGCATCAGGGGAAAGCCTAGGGGCGTGAGTGAGACTCCAAGTGAGAGGGGCAACTATCAGACAGACCCTGGAAGTGTGGGTCAGTGAGGAGGCCCAGTGGAGGCGTAGTGACCCAGCGAGGGGCCAGGAGCAAAATATGCCTCCAGTTGTAGAATCGCTCAGTCAACACTCAGGTGAGGGTAGCAGGAGATACCCAACAGACTGCGCCGGGGCTGACCAAGGTGAGGAGAGCTAAGCCGAAAGCTGGGTGAGGCCGGGCAGGATGAGTGTGGCCCTAAGAGAGCACAGTATGAAAGAGGCTGGGTGAGAGCCAGAAGAGTGAGCGGGACCCTGGTGAGAGAGTGGTGGTGTGTGAGTGGCCCTCCGGGGCTGTAGAGAAGAGCTACAACTGCGTGCCTAGTTTGCTCCAGTCATAGGCCAGAGAAATAACACACACGGAGTAACATCTACAAGGCATGGGCCCATGGAAGGGAGGCTGGAGTGGATATTAGGCCCTTGTAAGCAGGTCAAGTAATGGGTAGCCTCCAGCCTTAGTAACAACTCTCATATTTTTCCATCAAGGCGTGGCAGGAAAGTGAAGTCCCAGGAGCAGGGTGGCTGGCAGAGACCTGACAAGGAGGCCACCCTGTTACAGTTGGACATTAAGAAGAACTTTCTCAAAATGAAGTTGGTTAAACTTTTCAACACGCTACCTAGAGAGACTACAGAAACTCCATCCTTGGATGTTTTTATTAGCAGCTTAGACAAAAATTTAGCTGGGATGGTTTAATCAGGGATAATTCTGCCTTGAACAGGGTCCTGGGTTAGATGACCTCCTCCTGACATCCCTTCCAGTCCTGCTTTTCTCTAATTTTGATATTGGCTAAACAAGAGGACTCTGCAGAGAATCATAGAAAAATAGGGTTGGAAGGGAACTCAGGAGGTCATCTAGTCCAATCCCCTGCTCAAAGTAGACCCAACTAGATAATTCCAGCCAGGGCTTTGTCAAGCTGGGCCTTAAACCTCCAAGGATGGAGATTCCACAACCTCTCATTGCTCCTTGTTCTGTCACCTGCCATTACTGAGAACAATCTAGCTCCATCCTCTTTAGAACCACCCTTCAGGTAGTTAAAGGCTGCTATCAATTCCCCTCTCAGCCTTCTCTTCTGAAGGCTAAATATGCTCAGTTCCCTCCACCTCTCCTCATGAGTCATGTGCCTCAGCCCCCCTCATCATTTTCGCTGCCCTCCACTGGACTCTATCCAATTTGTCAACAACCTTTCTAGTGGGGGACCAAAACTGAACACAGTATTCCTGATGTGGCCTCACCAATGCTGAATCGAGGGAAATAATCTCTTCCCTTGAGCTGGTGGCAACATACCTACTAATGCAGCCCAGTATGCTGTTAGCCTTTTTGGCAACAAGGGCACACTGTTGGCTCTCATTCAGCTTACTGTCCACTGTAACCTGCAGGTCCTTTTCTGTAGAGCTGCTGCCCAGACAGACAACCCCCAGCCTATAGCAGTACACAGGATTTTTCTGTCCTAAATGCAGGACTTTGCACTTGTCCTTGTTGAAGCTCATGAGATTCCTTTTGGCTCAATCCTCCAGTTTGTCTAGGTCACTCTAAATCCTAGCCCTACCCTCCAGCATATCTACTATTCCCCCCAGCTTAGTGTCATCCACAAACTTGCTGAGGGTGCACTCCATCCCATCTTCCAGACTGTTAATGAAGACACTGAATAAAACTGGCCCCAAAACCGACCCCTGGGGCACTCCATTTGATACCAGCTGCCAAGCAGACATTGACCCATTGATCTCTACTGTCTGAGTCTGACTATCCAGTCAACTTTCTATCCACCTTACAGTCCATTCATCCAACCCATACTTCCTTAACTTGCTTGCAAGAATGCTGTGGGAGGCTATATCAAAAGCCTTGCTAAAGTCAAGGTATACCACATCCACTGCATTCCCTGCATCCACAGAGCCAGTCATATCATAGAAGACAATCAGGTTGGTAAGGCATGACTTGCCCGTTGTGAATCCATACTGAATGCATATTTTTGGCCTACCCTCTACAGACGACAAACTCTGGTAACTAGCATAAGCCCTGGGAACTCCCTACTGGTACTATCCCCACCTCTCCAGACAGAACTCTTGATGCTGCCCATAAGGAAAGGAGGAGGAATACTGTTACTGCTCCAGGTGAAGAAAGAAGTAGGCTTAAACCTGCTGCATTTGCCGCTATGGAATGTGAGGAAGCCCCTATCACCATCTCTCCTCATGAGGGGGCAGGGTCATAGTTAAAAAGTAAAACCAAGATGCAAATAAAGAATGAATGTCATGATATGCCTAAGGCCCCCGAGGGCCTTCGGCTGACCATGGCTGTGCCCCATTTTTACACTAATTATAACTCACCTGAGCACAACACACTGGTTCAACTTGTTTTGAACTATGCCACAAGCCTCTTGGCCAGTGGCCACAATTTTTTTTGTTTGTAATGTACTAGGCCCACTGTTGGCAGACAGATGAACAGTAAGAACTTTTTTGAGCATCTTAAAAGATCTTCACCTATAATCTATGCTACCACCACCATCTTGGAAATCTCATTAACAGTGTTTAGCTTGCTGGCATCAAAGGGTTTTTCTATGGCATTTTTCCTATTAAGTATTTCAGTGTACCTCCTGTCAGTGTGTAAACCGGTCAGGACAGCCATATGCATTGAAATGTCAAGATTCTTACCTGAAGAGTGGGGCATTACAGCAGACACAGTGGTACATCCCTGGCTCAGTGTTATTCAGATAGATTCCACTAAATGGCTAAAAATAAAAAAGTATTAACAACTTTTAAACAAACAACATCTCAAACAAACATGCAGGAACCAGATTTAAAACAAGAGAAAAGCATAAAAGGTGGCTTCCTGGGGGAGGAAGGGGGGCAGCTTTAAAGAATAAACATCATCAGTGAAGGGAAGCCATTGCCTTCAGAGCTTCCCTGCTACAGTCAAATGTGTAAATCATCCAGCTACTAGGTAACTAGGGCAAAAGTCATGACCTTCTGGAAGCATGTGAAGTGTGTAACATCCCACTGAGCAAGTCACTTATATTGGGTTCCACTACTTCAAAGCCCGCTACAAGCTAACACACAGCCCACCCGGGAGGCCTGGAACTGTGATCCTTATTTTAGAGATAAGGATCCAGATACAGGTTACACTGGTTTGTGCAGTAGCACATAGCAAGTCAGGCCATGTGAAGCTCAGGGCTCCCAGTTTTAGCAGTCTTGAGCTCTACCAAACCACACAGCCTCTCAGTTACAGAATGAAATCCAGCATGGTGACATGGGGAGAATGTAATCTTGCATGGAAGGAGTCAACAGGTTCTCAGCTGGCTGATCTGGATGGAGTATAAAAGGGGAAGAGGATGTAAAGAAGGCTACTCTGTGGGAAAAAGGTGTTCTTTCCTCTTCCAGCTGGCAGGGCTGGAAAGGGCCCTGTGATCATCAGCCTGTGGTCTGAGTCGATTTGTTCAGGTTCTGAGTTTTGATTTTGGAAATAAACCAAGACCAGGAGGAGGTGGAGGAAGTAAGATGTAGCTCTGACATTTATTTTTCCAGTTCACATGTGCAGGAGTTAAAAAGATGTACAAGACCAATGGCCTGTCTAGTCCAGCTTTCTGTCCCTAACAGTGGCCAAATTTATAAATTCTTCAGATGCAGAGAGAAAAATCTTACAGCTGGCAGCTGTGTGAACAGTAGCCCCCAGAGAAAAGTTTTTTTTTTTCTTAATCCGCCAATCCATAAAATGGTTTAATCCCTGAAGCATGAACACAAATGACATATTTTTCCTACCATTTCCTCCCCCTGGAAAGGCATTCAATCTCTTCCTTACCAGTTCAGTTCCTTTTTCTCTTGTGACATAGAACTGCTCTGGAGTCAATTTTTTTTGCCAGTTGGTGGCAATGGCTGTTTCATCATATCTAGTCAGTGACCCTGCACCTTTAATTGGAAGGGGGAAAAAGCAACAACATAAGATTTGTATCTTTAAATATATCTATTCTTTTTTTACAACCAGAATCTGTTGCTCACTTTCAACCTCAACATCACACTGAAATTCACATTGCCCAAACAAAACCCAAATAAACTGAATACTGAGGGGTTTATATGGGGATATTCATAGGAAAGGAAAGCAGTGTTGGAAAGTGAATACCAAGCATAACCACAGGAAAAGCCGGGGCTGTGCTGTGGAGCGAGAACTTCATGCTTGCTTCCATCCTGTCATAGAAAGGTAGGGCTGGAAGGGACCGCTGGACATCATCTAGTTCAACCCCTTATATTCTAGGGTTGTGACTGCAGTCTCTGCATTTGTTTTCCTGTGCAGAGTCTACCCAAATTGGAGTCTGCGTAACTAGGGGTTCCATGACCCTCCATCAGAGCACCATTATCTCAGCCCACCACTCTGGCTAAGATCAGCATAACGGTATCTTAAGCGCTACTCCGCAGTTGCTCCTTCTTTATCCCTGTGTACCCATGCAGAATTGGGAATGTGAACCTCATAAACCAGAGCCAAAGCTGGCATAGATTTTAGGCTCATTTGCAGACCATCAAAGCTAAAGGGATCATAAAAGATCTTACTGAAACCCCAGCAGGAGTGGTGCTGAAACATCCCAGATATGTTGTCCTCAGAGCAGCTGCTTCCAATGCTTTATTCAGAGAAGGAAATAGTCAGCAACTGTTAGTGACAGTCAGTGATTGGAAACAGGAAACAGTCAGCGACAGTCAGTGATTGGGTAGAACCAGTGTATCTAGGGGGGCTGTTGTGTATTTGAAGGGGCAAGCTTCATTCCTTTAATGATAAAGGAATGAAGCTTGCCCCTTCAAATACACAACAGCCCCCCTAGATACACTGGGTCTACCCAGTTACTGTCAAGTATCAAACCTTCTGTCTGGTATCAAACCCGCAAGCAGGATCACAGAGAATCTAACCAAAAACAAAATAAAACTAGACTATCAGGCATATGGCATAATGTGGATTCTGGCCAGGCTATGGTACTGACCTCACATTAGTACACTGAGATGATCTCCCCCATCAGTGGACAGAAGGCAAATGTCTATCCTTACCCTCCTGGATCTCACTGCAGCATTCAACACTGTCTATCATAACATACTACTATCCTACCTGGGAGATGGAGGGTGTCCTGAGGAAAGCACTAAAATGGTTTTATATCTTCTGTCCAAAGATATGACATGGGAAACTGCACTCCCACTACTAGATGCTTCATTTGTGGAGTTGCACAAGGATCAACTCTCTCCTTCAGCCCCATTCAGGTTCTACAGGGAGCCACTAGGTGAACAGATCAGATGACATGGACTCCAGCACCAACAACATACTCTAACTACACTTTAGTACACAGACCATACCATTGCCACAGACACAGTGTTTGGACAAGATAAACTCATAAATTAAGATCAGATGAATCCTAGCAAAACAGAGATAGAGATAAAAAAGTGAAGTATATTTTGAAGTACAAACAAACCTCTGGCTGAAGATGCATACGGACAGATGCCAATTCAGTCCATAGTTTACAGGTGTTTCAGGATTCTTGCTGGCACTAGGCTCCCACAGCACACATCTACGGCACTGTAGCAACACTTTAGGCAATGTAGCGCCAGCAGGCAAAAATTGATGCTACAGCTATAGCATATCACTACAGCAATGTAGTGCCTAAAATAACTATGTGCTGTACTTCCTAAAGGAAGTACTAATTGATGGAGCAGTAACAACGGCGCAGTAGGGGCACGTGTAGATACACCTACAAAGCAGCACCAGCAAGCAATGCTATCATCTTTAACTAACTAGCACAATAGTTGGCAACATTTTCTGGCAGCAGCAGTTCCGAGATCCACTTGTGCTAGAACCTGGCTGCCACTTCTCCCCACCACCTAGCCATGACATAGCATGGGCAAAGCCACCCACCACTTGCTGCCTAGGTGCAGCACGGCATATGCAACGTCCCCTGCTGCCAAACACCACTGAAGTGCCAGTTCTGCAGGCCAGATCCAATGGCACCATGGGCCAGATCCAGCTTGCAGACTGGACTGTAGGCTGTTGATCTCTGAGCTAACAGACTCCCTCTCGTCCTATCAGATAATAACCAAGCCCAAGTTATACATGTCTTTATCATCTCCTGTCTAGACTATAGCAATTCAATACAGTTGGGCAGGAAACAAGTACTCAAGGAGCTCCAACTAGCACAGAAGAGTGTATCATGTCCCCACTGTAGCAAGTTGCTCCAGGTTCTTCATCCCTGCCTTTCACACTACACCAGTGGCTCTCAACCTTATTAGGCTCATGGCACCCCTCAGAAAATGTCAGCTCTTCGTTTTTACACATTTTTGACCATGGAAAAATAATACAGCAATTTTTCTATTGCAAAGAACTCAGCATAATCATATTTACACACCTAACAGCATGCCATGGCACCTGGTTGAGAATCACTGCTCTATACTGACTTCCTGCAGAATACAGAGTTAAGTTACAAGATCTTGCTCCTAGTCTACAACATTCCCAAATGGGCTGTGGCTAACACAGAGATTTAGAGGTAGCTCAAAGCCCCAGGATGAGAACTGTGGTCAAAGCACAGTGGAACTTTCCATCCTAAAGGTATGTAGGTCTTGTTTGGAGCTCTCCCAAAGGCCAGCAGAACAAGTGCTCACAAGAACTAAGGACCATCATAAACCTTACCACCTTCATTCCCTGTATGAAGCCACTTTTCTCTAATCTGACTTCCCAGACACAGACCCACAACAGTTTGTACACAAAAAACCAAAACCAACTCCTTACTGGAACAAAACACAAAACCTGTTCATATCTTCCATTCTTTTGATAGTGTTACAGTGATACTGTCACCATGATGGTCCAGCAGACATGTGAGAGGCAAGGATTCTTGTTGGTGCTAGCTTTTATTGGACCAATTGTATGGCTGGTATAAACATAGGAATCATAGGCCTAAAGGTACTGTGATACCTGAAAGCTTGCCTGTATCTATATCAATGATACACTTGGTCCAACAGAAGATTTTCACCCATAAGAATTCCAACCCTGTACATACAAATTCTTCTGCCGAGGGAGAGGACAAGAGATAGCGAACTGCATGTGACAATGGTAGTCACATCACTGAATAAAGTAGTGAAAGGTGATGAGATGCTACAGCAATGAGTGGTACAGTATTTATTGACTGTAGCATCTCACAGCCATAGTTATGGAGCATGGCCTAACAGTATCAGGCACTGTGCAAAGAACCTAAAGAGAAGAGCAGAGAAGAACAAAGCCACACTTTCCAAACTTGCTGGAGAATGTTACCAGCTCACCAGGCAAGAATCTCAGCTGTACCAGTCCATCTCCCTTGTCCTGCATGTAGATCTGCCATCAAAATCTGGCTGCTCCTAATCATAAATGTGCTTGGAACAGCTGCCCAAGCTCATCCATGGGTTAGAAATCACACAAGTACAGAGGAGATAGATCAGGGGTGTCCAACCTTTTTGAATGTGGGGCCGGATCATGAACTTTTTATCAGCCAGTGGGCTGGCAGGAGCAGGCACTTGCACAGCCTGTCCAGTCTGGCTGTGGTCTGGGGATGCAGGGGTCAAAGGGTGCCGCCTGACCCCGCCGTGTCCTCCCTGCCACCTGGGTGGCCTTGAGGATGCTCCCACACCTGTGTGCCCGGGTTCAGCAGCCAGGGGGACGTGGGGACTCTACAGGGGGGTGCGGATGTGCAGGGACACCCCTCTGCTCCCTCTCCCCTGGGGCAGCCCAAGCCTGAGCCCAAGCAGCAGGGGTCCCTCCCTCCCTCCCCAGGGCCCACAACTCACCACCCCCAGCACGATGTCTGCGGGTGCGGGGGGATGCGGGGAGGCGGGAGCAGTGCTGGCTTCCCGCCCCAACCGCCACAGCAGCAGCACTCCCGCAGGCCCGGCTGCAGCATCCCTCCGCACTAGCATCTGCGCCCCCTTTGCCCGCCTGCTGCACCATGACCTGCTTTAGCCCACGTGGCCAACGGGGACCAGCACAGGGCGGGTCCGGCATGGAAATGAGGAAGGGACGGGCAGGGCTAGGAACAGAAACCCTGCTATGTGGGAGAGGGGAGGAGCTGGCATGCAAATTAGGAAGGGAGGGGTGGGACGAGGAAGGGACACTGTGAAACGAGGGGGGAGGGGAGGAGCGGCACTGTGTCGGCAACGTCAAGCTGACGCAGTGCGTGTGGGAACCCTGTCCCTTCCCCAGCTCTTCAGCAGCCATTAGGAATCTGCTGAGGGGCTGGGGGAGGGACAAGGGGTGGGAACGAAAGTAAACTGTTTACTTTCGTTTCCCATTGCAGCACCGTGGGCCTCAGAAAATGGCTTGGTGGGCCGCATGGCGGCCCGCGGGCCATATGTTGGACAAGCCTGAGATAGATGGTAGAGAAAACCTGAGCACAGTCCAGTGACTCATCCCTCAGACAGGGAGAAAGAGTCAAGAGTACTGAGTCACAAAAGCATCAAGTACCAATTCCCCTGAACATATTATTGGTGAGAAATAAAAAAGTGTCGGCATGGCTGCTCACAAACTGAAGGTCTCATTCTCAGATATGTATTGAAGCATTGAAGTGTTTGGTTCTGCATCATTTATGAAGTTGATCAGCTACAATTGGCTGTGGAAAAAAGCCATGGATGAACAGAATGTCTTAGAAATATTATTGCTTCCCCTGCTTGGCAGCAGTCTGGGAGTTGAGGCAGTGACCCCGTTAGTACACTTGGAACCATTCGCTGCTGCATATGGAACAGTGACCGCAGAACCTGACGGATAAATAGCGATCAACAGCAGAGGATTGGTGTTTTATAGATGCATGCTCCATAGATGGCACTGATCACCCATTACTGATTAACTTTTACAAAGGGATTAATAATCTAAATAGCCTTTGGACTCAGTCAGTGTCATTAAAGTGACTCAGGACTGAAGGCTCTAGGAATGGGATGCAGGGCAGATGGCGAGTCCACATCACAAAAGACATTTCCCATGGTACCCAGTGTAGAGGGCAGGAGGCCCAGTGTTAAACCAGGTGTGGCCAACCCGTGACACGGGCAACCCCTGTATGTGCCACGAGGCAGGTCAGGGAGGGGAGCTGCAGCACAGTGGCAGATAGGGCGCAGAGCAGCAAGATCAGGCAGGGGAAGTGGGTGGGGGTGGCATGGGGGAGGATGAGGGGCTAATCTGCAGCCCAAGAGGCAGGTTCTTGCTGTGCTAAACAGCCTCTCCAGGCTAGGACTGGGCCAGGCTGGGACAGCCCTGGAGGGGGTCGGGCAGGTGAGGCCAAGGAAGCAGGGCTGCAAATGCAGAGCGGTTTCTCGGGCCCTCAGCGAACCAGGCCCTGGCGCTCTCCAGGGGCTACCTGGCAGGGTGGGGAGCTGGGCCAGCAGCTCCTGTTTGCCAAGGAGAGGGGCGGCACCCAGCGCCGGCTCCAGGGGCCCAGG